AAAAAAAAAATGTTAAAAAAAATAAAAAAAAAATTAAGTCAGTTCTTAAGTTTGTTTAGTGATATGATAGTATACTGAAGAACCTATAAAGGTTAGAATTATGATATAACCTAATTTCTATTAATCTACCTTGTATATTTTTATAAATATTTATTTACTCAGAAAGGCTATATTCCTCCTAAGTTTAGTTATAGCACTCTCAATGTTCATATTAACTGTAAATCTGTATCCCTGTTTAATGATTTGAAAGTTAAGTTTTTATCTAAATTTGGCTTTCACAGTTCTCACTAATAATTACTGCATTTTATTCTTCCAACACAGTGTGCATTTATACTTCAGTAAAATTTCACCATATGAAGCAATAAGATTTTTATTCTCTATCTGGAATGCCTACCAATGTTTATTTTGTTTAAGAATTATTTCAGAGAGCGAGAGAACGCAGGGGAAAGGGGCAGAGAGAGGGAAAGCATCTCACGACCCTGAGATCATGACCTGAGCCAAAACCAAGAGTCAGGCACTTAACCAACTGCTCCATCCAGGCGCCTTCCATACATTATTTATATTGATACAGAAAGGATAGTAACTTGTGTGATCACATGGCCATTAATCAAGCACAGATGCAGAGGTACTAGAATTGTCATTGAAATGGTGAATTGCATGTTTGGCATTCTAAAGATCAAGGATAAAGCTGAAGCTGATTTTGGCTGAATACTGAGGCTGAGCCAAACTTCTTTGAATCCGTGTTTTATGTTTTGGGAAAACTTAGTTGTAAGGATATTACGCGATTTATGTGAAACTATACAGATAATAAGTGGTAGAAGTGGAATTTTGACCAGGTAGCCTAAACTTCTCTTCTGCCTTTATAAATTGTGACTGACCTTAAAAAACAGTTGGTCTTAGCATCATTGTCCCCTGCCCACACACAAATTTCTCCATGTCCCTTTTCTTCCCTCCTTCCTTCAAGAAAAGCTAGGATAGAAAAGAGTTTTAGAAGAGAATATCATGGGGCGCCTGGGTGGCTCAGCCGTTAAGTGGCTGCCTTCAGCTCAGGTCACGATCCCAGGGTCCTGGGATCGAGCCCCCGCATCGGGCGCCCTGCTCCAGGAAGCCTGCTTCTTGCTCTCCCACTCTCCCTGCTTGTGTTCCCACTCTCCCTGCTTGTGTTCCCTCTCTCGCTGTGTCTATGTCAAATAAATAAATAAAATCTTAAAAAAAAAATCATTTCCTTCCTTTTCAGTGAAATTACTATTTTAGAGACTGCTTAGGATTATAATTTGATAGAAAATAAAGTGTAGAGTCTTTGAGGACTTTTTTCTTTTTATTGATAATTGCCCTTTTATTGATAACATGAATAAGCCCTCAGGGAAATTAAACTTTGCTGAATTACCCCATGTTGATATATAAATTGCCTTTAATTTAATCATGCTTGAAGACATTTATGATAGCGATGGTAACTGGAGAATTGGCTTATCAAAAATAAAATGGGAATTAAGATGTAAAATTTAAGTTTAAAAGGTCAGATACTAAGGGAGCAACAGGTCCAAAAGCAGAGGAACTTCCCGACTCATAAAATTTTCTAATTTTACAGATTATCTTGAAATTTAATAAAAATAGCAGTTACAGTTACTATTTAATTTTAATTGCCAATAACAAGAGGACCATGAAAACTCCCCTAAATTTCCAGCCAAAAGGAAATGTTTGATACATAGATAAGACTTGTTTGTGTCTCTTTCAAAGAGAACCAGAACCCCCAGACATTTTTTATGGTAAGTTTTATTGAGATAATTGTAGATTCATGTGTAGTTATAAGAAATAATAAAGAGAAATCCTGATCCTTCAGTTTGCCCCAGTGGTGGTACCATCTTGCAATGCTGTAAAACAACGTCACAACCAGGATATGGGCATTGATATAATCTACCAATCTTACTTAAATTTCTCCAGTTTTACTTGTGTTACGTGTGTATGTATATTTATAAATATACATATACGTGATAAAATGTGTATTTTATAAATATACATACACGTGATAAATATACATACAATACCATTTTATCACCGTACATTAGTGTATTCACCACCACGTGGTACTGAGCCATGCCATCACAACAAAGATGTTTCCTATTGTTCTTTTATAAATCCATCCACCTCTCTCTCTCTCTTTTGCTTTCCCAACTCCATCCCTAATCACTGGCCACCTCTAATCTGTTTCCATTTGTAAAATTTTGTCATTTCAAAACTGTTCTATAAATGGAATCATACAGTATATAACTTTGAAATTGACTTTTTTCACTCAGCATAATTCCTCAGACATTTATCAGAGTTAAGTGTATCAATAGTTTCTTTTTGTTGTTGAGTAGTATTCCATATATATGCACCATAGTTGAAGCATTCACCTAATGAAGAATGACATCTAGACTGTTTCTAGTTTTTGGCTTTTATGTACATGTTTGTACATAAGTTTTCATTTCTCTGGGATAAATGTCCAAGTGTGCCCAGAATTTATTTTAAGTGAGAAATTATTGAAGTGCCAAAATATTAACTCAGAGAATAGGTATTAGGGCTAGTCATAAATCTGTTGTCAGTCTTTTAATCTGAAGTGAAAAAACAAATTTTCGAATTGAGAAAATGAAGTTCATGTACTTTTTGGAAGGAGATTGGCACCAAAGAGCACTTTTACTATGCATCTTAGAAACATTTATATGAGAATTTATGCATAAATACAAGATAATCACAAAATTTATGAATTATCACAGTTTGCCATTAACTGATAGGTGTAGCTGATTCACAGTCATTATATTTTTAAATGAGTAATATTTTAATCTTTCTGATTTTAAAAGTAACAAGTAATTATAAAAATCAGAAATATATAAATATATAAAGAAGAGAATTAGAACTCTAGTACCAGCAAAACTACTGTTAAGATTTTTGGTGTATTTCCTTCTAGTCTTTTTTGTGTGCATATAATACTAATTTAATTTTTATAAAATTGGGGTTAGGTTAACTATACAGTTTGACATCTTAGTTAAAAATTGAAAAGTTAAAAATTGAACTTTAAAAATGTTTTTAGCCATTTGTATGTCTTCATTTGTGAACTGTTCATTTTTTCCCCATTTTTATATTGATGAGATAGTGTTAGGGTTTATGACTTATTTGCTCATGTATAAATAGAAAACTTTTTCAGTTGGATAATTGTTTTACTTAATATCTCTTCTTTTATGTCCCGTTTTAAATAATTTTTCTTATTCTTCAAAGATATGCTGTGATAGCATTTGGATGTGCTAGCTGTCCAAAATTAACTTGTGGGCGAGAAGGCTGTGGAACAGAGTTTTGCTACCACTGTAAACAGATTTGGCACCCCAATCAGACCTGTGATGCTGCTCGACAAGAGAGAGCCCAGAGCTTACGTCTGAGAACTATACGTTCTTCATCCATTAGTTATAGTCAGGAGTCTGGAGCAGCAGGTATTTATGTCTAACTTTGTCTAATAAAATATTTGACACAAACAGAGCGTTATAGTTACCTTAATAAAAAATGCAGTATTCAAATAGTTCCTGTTATTACCTTTCCTCCCTTCAGTTTTCAAAAGTGTTTTATGTGTTGTTAGTATTTCTGTCCCAGAAGCACTCATTCTTTACTGTGGAAGAAAATGGTATTGAGGTTGGAAAGATTTTATTGTAAAAAAAAAAAAAAAAGGAAGTACCTTGGTGATTGATGTAACTGATAACTGAGGATGGTCTGAAAGTGTTGTTCATAAAAGTATATTATGCAAAGCTTAGCAAAGATTTTTAAAAATCATCTTTTATTTACAGATGTCTCATCTAATTCCAGGATCAAGGATTCAGAATCATACCTTAATGGGACACTAAGAATTTTGTGTCTTTGGCTAAGAATTTTTAAATTACCTGGGGATCTATATATGAACAATGTATGCATCTCCTAAATCTCAAAAATTAAAAAAAAAATTCTGAACCTCTTAATGTTCTTTGAATAAAAATTGAAAAATTAATATTTCCCATTTATAGAATTTCTGTTTATTGGAATTTCAGTCATTTTTAGAAAAATACTTTTCTCACTGATTGTAAAATGGAAAAACTTGGAAAATACAGAAACTTGTCAAGAAAATCATTTACATTCCTACTAGCAGTATACTGAGATAGTCATGTATTTCATGCTGTTAAAGTCAGATTTAAAATTAAGTAAACTTTAAATTCAACATTTAATACTTTATACAACGTACACAGATTTTCATGCTAATTTGCTCATTGACTTGTTTCCTTTCCTGAAGATTTGGGGTGAACCTTAAAGGTATTAATAATAATTTGTAAGTATGGGTCCAGAAGTAATTCAGAGGAGACCTGATATACCTAAACTGTACCCTCTAGGGTCAGCTGTAGCCATGGAGTGGTCCATTTGGAAACAGTATCCCTCTTTTCTAAGCGTGGGCATGGGTATTTATTGATTGGTTACAGGACATGTGTATTGAGTAAGAGCCTGAACTCTGGAATCAGTCTGTCTAGATTTAAATCCTACTTTTTCCACTAATTCTGTGTGACCCTGAGCAAGTTGTCTCATCTATAAAATGAAGATACTAATAATACTTATGTCTATAAGGTTGAAACATTTCCTGACACATACTAGGTGCTCTGGCTATTTCAGGTAGAGAAACTAGAGAAACCAGTCACCTGCTAGAGATTTGTGTTTGTTATTAATTTTAAAATAAACGTCATGGGGGCGCCTGGGTGGCTCAGTTGGTTAAGCGACTGCCTTCGGCTCAGGTCATGATCCTGGAGTCCCTGGATCGAGTCCCGCATCGGGCTCCCTGCTCGGCAGGGAGTCTGCTTCTCCCTCTGGCCCTCCCCCCTCTCATGTGCTCTCTCTCTAATAAATAAATAAAATCTTTAAAAAAATAAAAAATAAAAAATAAAATAAACGTCATGATTTAGTCATCCAAATGAATTGATCTTTCTCACTGTATTCACTGTGGAAGATTTTATGTTTATTTCAGCAGTGCTACCCTGGAATGCCTTGTTGGTCATAACCTTAGATCCCAATACAGCCACTTAAATTAACTTCTTAATGTCAATTTGATTTCTGGAAGTGACCAGAAGTTCTTTTGGAGCTAAGTCTAACAACTAGAATATCATACCAAGTTGAATCACTGGTTTGGGGTGGATCCAAAGTAAGATGTGACTATATATGATCATGAGAATGGGTTTTTTTATATATATATATTAACTAGCATTGAAAGTAACTATGAAAGAAAAATTTCCCAAGGGATTTGAGCCAGGTAGTAGCACTGTTGGAATAAATATAGCTTCCCAGGGTGATTATTTTAAAAACTTCATTTGGAATTTTTCCATGTTCAGAAATCTTATAATTCTGAAAATTTAAAGTGTATGCATTTTTACCTCCAGTGCTCTAAAAATCAAAGCTCTCAGGACAAATGTTTATGTGATAGTTTCTTTTGACGAATCTCTAAAAAACTTGGCTACTCATTGCCTTATGGGGAAAAAAGGAGGAAAGGGAACCATCTAAAATGATTTTATTAATTCCCGTTATTCCAGATATCTTGGTATTTTTTTGTCTCCTGTTATCATGATACATGTATCATGTATCATGATACATTGAAAAATTGGCTGCACTTTTAATAATTGCTTGACATAATGATAATAATTAATTGGCTCTTTCTGATCAGTCAGCTGAAGATAAATAAGTGTGCTTAATCATCTGGTACATTAAATAATTTGTATTATGACAAAATTATCTTTAAACTGTAACAGTATTACATCTACATGAGATACTTTCTTATAACTACTAGGGAGTTTATGCACTTGGAGTTAACATTTTAAATGAACTATGTATTTTTCATTTTTGTTACTGTGTTTTCCCCCTTTATTAAAAATATATTTAGGGGCGC